GTCCGCGCCCGCGGCGGCGCGGTGCTCGTGCGCGACGGCCCACTGCTGGCCGCGCGCCCAGCCCGCCATGGAGAGCGCGATCCGCTTCGCAATGTCTCCAGACAGCAGCCCATCCGCCGGTGGGACTGCCGCCGCGGCGCCGCCGCCGTGCTGCGCCGCCGCTGCCGCGGCGGCAGCGGCGTGGTGGTGGTGGTGCTGGTGCTGGTGCTGGTAGTGGTAGTGTTGCGGAGGGTGCATGCCTGTGCCGGCCCTGATGGGCACCTGCTGCGGGTTGAAGGGGCCAGGGCCCAGCCGCAGCTGCGCGGGCGCGGCGCCCGCGCCGGCATGCACGAGAGCGGGCCGCGGCGCCTGCGCCGCAGGCGCCGGCATTGAGGGCGGCGCGGGCGGCGGCGCGCCGCTGATCAAAGGTGCGCCCGGTCCGCCGACGGGCGGCGGCGTCGGCGCCAGCGGCGCGGAGGCGGCAGCCAGGCCGCTCGCTCCGCCCTGCGCAGCAAGCGGAACTGCCGCCGTCGGCTGCGCCGCCGCATACGAGGGCAGGCCCGCCGCCGCCGCCGCTGCTGCAACAAAGTCGATGGGGTTGGTGGAGGCGGCGCCCGCCTGGGGCCCGGCCGCCGCCGCCGCCGCCGCAGCTGCGGGCAGCGCTAGATTATGGTGCGGCTGCGGCGCGCCGGCCATAAACGCCAGCTGCGGCGCCAGCTGTTGCAGCCCGTTTTGATGCGGGCCTGCACATGGGACCGACGGTTGGGGGCGGGCGGCGATGATGCGGGGTCAGTGGCAAGGGCAACAGCTGCACGGGCATGCCTCGGCACCGCAGACGCAATGGCAACGGCAACGGCAACGGCAACGACAACGCACGCAGCAGCGGCGGGCCGCCTGCGGCGGGCGCCCGGCGACGCCGGGCGCTCACCCAACAGCGGTCCGCTCTGCTGCTGCGACGCCTGCTGGGGCGGCTGCTGCGGGGGCGGCTGCTGGCTTGAGGCCTGCGGCTTGCGCTTTGGGCGCGGCGGGGGGACCTCAATCCGCTCGCCTGCGATGAGAAGTTAGGGCGCGGTCGCGGGGACGGCGTCAGATAAGTGGGCCACGCACTTCAGATCGTGCAGCGCAGGACGCGCACAGCCCAGCCGTGCGCGCTTCCGACGCCGCAGGGTGGCGCCCCGCGCCCCATCTCTCGTGGCCCCAATCCGCCCGCCACGCGTCGGCGTCGCCGAGCGCCCGCGCGAGGGGGCCGGCCGCGCGGTCCGGCGCACCTTCAGAGGCGACACCCTTCTCCAGGCGGTTGAAAAACTTCTGGGCGTGGCTCCTGATCTGGACCGCAGTCTTGGTACCGACATGCTCTGGGGGAGGGCGGGGAGGGGGATGCAGGCGATAAACTTGGGGTCAGCCCGGCAGCGGCTCTGCCACCGGCTCATGCGCGCGCATGCCTGCCGTGGCCCCGCAGCGCGCTCTTCCCGGCGCGCATTGACACGCGGGCGTCGTCCGCGAAGGCCCTCTCAGCGCAGCCGCACCTTCCACAAGCTTCCAGGCGCGGCCGTGCAGCTGGTGGGTGTGCGGGGCGGCGGTGGTGGTTTGTGGGCCGGCGGTGTGGGGGTGTGGCAAAAAGGGTTGAGGGGGCTTTGCAGGCGGGCCGCTGAGGCAGGGATGGCGCCAAGCAACCAGACTGCAACGCAACCCACATCAGTCCAGCTCCCTGTGCGGATCTCTCCCCATATGGGTGCTCCGCAGGGTAATCGGGCTTCTGACTGGCGGCACCACACCTCTGCACGTCTGTCGCCCGGCCTCTCACCTTCAGGGCATCCAGGAACCGGGAATGCTCCTCATCAGTCCAGCGCTCCCGCTTCGCTTTCTGTTTGGGCGCGGCGCGGAGAATCGCTCAGCAAGAGGATTTGCGGGTTGTGAGAGGAGGACTGCTGCACCCCCTCAGTGCACTGCAGCGGTGACCAGGAGCAGTGGTGGTCTTGAAGGAGCGCCGCCTCCGCGCACGTGGGCGCTCTGCCGCCCCACAAGATGACATACTCTCGACTGTCTAATCGCCGCATAAACCATTGCACGAAGCCGGCCGGCAGGCAAAGCAGATTGCGAGCAAAATCGTCGCGCTTGAGGGCTGGGCGGGCCACGGCTGCACACTACAAGTATTATATTTCCAACCAAAGCTATTGTGCGCCTCACCGGTGCGAGAACAGGGGGCCCACTCGACGACATCTTTTTTGGGTGTTGCGCGCGGTGGCTCAGCGCCACGGTGGCGGACGTGCGTGCATTTTTGGGGCAGAGAGCGTTGCAATGATAATAGGAACGTATGAAGGGCCAGCCAAGCGCGCGCAGCTTAATGAATTAATTTCGATTCGGCCGACCAGAATCCAGCAAAATCAGCACCCAGAGCCCGCAAATTTGAAATGTAAAGCATTTCTGATCGTTTGCAGCCCACATATTGTCATCCAGCGGCCCGACCGCAAAAAGACGGCGAGGCAATCTAGGCGGTGTGAGCTCTTTTGAGAGCGGGGACGGTTCGAATTTCATTGGCACAAGTACTTGAGCCATTTGCGGCTGCGCTCTGCATCCGTTGCGCTGGATTTGCAATGCCGGGGCGCTTGTGTGACATCATGTGGACTGCACGGCGTTGAATGGGCGGCTCAAGTAGAATGCGGGCTGTAGCTGCACATGTCATCTGAGCCATGCACATATGACATGATACTGGTGCGCATGATGTGCACATGTGCATGTTGAACGCATGTGCGCGAAAAGCCACGTGCTGCTGAGAAGCTGCTTCAAACCCCCAGTGCGAGCGCGCACGCACGCACACACCACCTCGAGGGCATCAGCGCTAGCCACGTTGCTGGTGGTGATACCTTTCCAGTCTTTCCGAGTGGGCGACGCGAACTTTTCCTGCAGACCGCTGTTCTTGAACAATTTGTTGCGTGCTCATCAGCAATACAACCATGCTTGCCTACATGATTGCTCCACCAAGCCGTGCAGCCACCTGATTGCAAGAACACTCGAATGTGGGTCAGGGCAGCTGCACACTCGCGGCGCAGCAAAGCGCCATGCGCTGTTCCATTGCACCACCCTCCTGCGGCACTTGCCTGAAGATAACAGCACCACTGTGCGTGGCAGCAGGATGGCGAGCCAGATGGATGCGCTTTTTGGTGACCGCCCGGAGCGGCACTGTGGAGACGCTGCGCAGGTACGGTTGAACCGATGCTGGGTTTGGTATAATACGGCCTGGCTTACAGGGGGCTGCGCGCCGATGACCTCTCCCCTCGATAGCATGCGCTGGGCATGACCACATGCACTGCGGTAGCCGGCCGCATGCATCGGGTCGTGCAGAGGGAGCCACACATGATGTGCCGACACAGGGCAAGAGGGGGCGGCGCGATCGCGCTTGACGCGTCGCACGCAGCACCACTGATCACATTGGCCGCGGGGTGGAATTGGGCGCGGCGGGCTGTGCGGGCGACAAGTAGGGAGGCCAAGCCGGAGCGAGGAAAAGGCTGGCAGTATCACTCGTCCGCACGCAGACTGCTCCGTGCTGCCTGCCGCGAACCCGACGCCTTGCTTGTCGCAAGCCTGCATGTCATGTGACCATGCATGCCATAAGAAGCGGGCCACAAGACCTACATACGCTCGCAGGCGCCGCGCTCGTTGTGCGTGGCTGCAATTCCCGAGGCATGCGCAGCGGATTCGTTGCTTGGCACTTAACCGGCCCTGGCGCAGCGGCCACACGCAAGCCGCAAGGCGCTAGCGGGTCCTGGCAAAGCCCTGGCGCCTTCCAGCTGTGCGTGTCCGCCCAGCGACGTCGCCCAGCACCAGCCGTCCGGGCAGGCCGGAGGCACGGACAGCACACGGCCCGAAAACCCTGCGCTCTGGCAGAGCCCTTGAACGAGCCTTCTAGCTGGCGCCCAAGCGGCGGGGCGGCAGGATCCCGGGCCATGCCGCCGCATCTGCAGGAACGGGCTGGAATGGGGGTGAAGCGAGGCTGCCCTGCACGCCGCACTCACAGCGAGTCCAGCCAGTCCTCTATGCTCTGGGCCCCCGCCGCGCGTCGC